ATCTTGATGATGGGCGGGGTAGAATCATTGCTTTTTAAATGTTTTTCTCCTCCCCCCTCCCCCCCCCCCCCGTTGTCCCCATCTCTATGTGTCTTATAGGTATACTTGTGTGTTTGCCATTTGTGCAATGAGTGGGGAACCAACCCGGTGGCAAGGTGATTGGATTACAGCATTTGGCATAGATACGATTAAATTCCTAACAACGGTTATGTGTAAAAGATGTCATAAATGAAAGGTCAAGTACCTGTGTTAATTTCATTCGCTCTTACAGTATGGTGGCTGATTGTCAATCATTAGAAGCACAAGTTCGAGATACTTGTTGCAAATGAAGCCTACTGTGTATTATCATGACGAAAACTGAAGGGGCATACAAGTACTTGATAAAACCTCTTTCGCGCTACTACTGACCGTATTATAATCTCTACGAGTGCTATCTGATTAATCTCTGATCATACTAGAGGCCTATTTGACATCTCATTCATCATATCCAGAAGCACAATGTATTTGACTGTGGTGAGTGTACATAGTATCGAAATTGTACCTCTGTAATCAATTAGCACATCGTTATCTCTCTGTTAACACTGTGTCATATCGGATGTTTACTCTCTGATAACCAAATAACGGTTCGGTCATCATTACCTGTTTAAGTCAGGGTTGTCTTATATTTGCTCAGTACTTCATTATGTCCGTTTGAAAAGAAATTCCTGTAACCCCCTTTAATGAGCATCGGTTAGCTACGGCCGCGTCTGCACGATATGATAACTCCAATTACCTAGAATCTGTAATAATGTTTCAATCAATCTGAAAACTATTCTGAACATTTTTCAATTTGAAATGAGTAGGATTTCAAAGAATGATCGCTCCAACCAAACCATCTAACTCAACTAGTCTAATTATAATAATAATAATTCCACTTTTATATAGCGCTTAATACATCTATGATGTCTATAAGCGCTTTGCAGATATACATTGGATTCAATACTTGCCCGCACACATTGTGTGCACAATCTCTACTCCCTGCGGAGCATTCCAGCCAGGCGTTATTCGGCGCTCACAACTGTTCCATAAATCAGTAAATATCCATTTGGAAAAGGAGAACTCCCTACTAGTGATCAAGTATTAGGAAGTTTGAGGCGATACATATATTACTGCTAAATAATTAATTTATAGTCCAATTTAGTATCAGAATTATGACCAACCCGATCACTAATAACATTTCAACAGGGCTATTATACATAATTGTATATATACCTTTCTCCCAAATAACGCGATATATAAAATGTAGGATTGTAATAATAGTTATATTTTGGACGGAGCATTTCAATATTAGACGTTGGTGACAGTATGAGATTGGCCGATAATGTTTTCTTGCTACCAACTTGTCGAGAAAAACAAAGTGTCGTGTTTGCAATACTTTGTGGTTAATATTTGTTGTAACCTGTAAATAAGCGATGTTCAATGATAAAATCTGAAAACACAGTTATGACTGTAACCTATAAAAATGTAATACTCATTTAAAACCGATCAAAACCACAATATGGGAAGAGGTTGTATAGGAGAAAACATAGAATGACTCCCATAGCGAGATTAATCAGGCACTTTCACAAGTTCGATTTCTCTCTTGAAGGAGTCTGTCATTCTGTTTGCCAAAAGCATGCCTTGTGGTATCTACATTCCAGTAAATACTGACATGAACATGACATAAAATAGATTTAAAAAGATTCCCTTTTCAAATAGAACTCGCAGGGATCGGAATGGGTTGGTAAGAGGGTTGGAAACTCTATGGAAAGAATACTAAGAAAGAAGATAGTACAAAGAGTTGCCAACTTTTAAATACTTTTCCATACGAACTGAGGTCAATGAATCATGATTGGCTAGTAACGGAATGGTGCTGAATCAATACCAATTCATTGAAATATTAATATTGTTGTAGTAAGCGTTGGCGGCATTATCAAGGAAGAGCTTCTGTTTAAGAATGGACCTGTTATATCAGTTAGACATATTTATTTTTTAAAACCTGGTTCACAGTAATTTATTGACTCCACTGGGTTCGGTAAAGCCTTTTCGCAGTCTACATGGGCTTTTCTTCATTTAAATAAGAACTTAAATTTGCCCCTTGATTTCTTCGCTGCTGTCTTCTGCTATATGGCAGTGAATAGAAGTGATACGAACAACTTATCGATTCAAAATTAGGGTTTGGAATAATAGAACGTAAGAACGGCATCTGAAAGGTACTATGTCCCATTTGAAGGCCAAAAAAATGAAAAGGTTAAATTCCAACGGCATTTGAAAGATAATATTAATTTAGAAGTTCCCTAAAAAAAGGGGGGCTTGAAAATGTCTTTAAGTGGGAAAATAAGTCGACTATTAGTTGTCGAATCGACTTAGGAGCTATAGAGCCAGTAAGTAATAGTCTGATTTTCAGACCATTGTACCGAATGGTTGTACGTTTTATGCTGTGCAAACATTCAATCAGTTTAATTTTGGCCCATTACAAGAAGTGGGTTATTGATGTAGACAAATGCTCATGTACCCTTTACGGCTCATGTTATGTATGTTATTACCAAAGATGGAAAAAGCCAGTCAGTCACTCAATAGTGCCTGACAGTGAAGTCTAGCAAGTAAACAGGTTTTCTTGCATATTTGAATATTTGGACACTGCTAACGTTTACATTTCACAGATAGAACATACATGACATATTCATAATTCCTGCAAAGTTCTACAGCATTTGAGGTTGGCTGCAAAAGGGACATAGTATCTTTAAAGTCAAAGTCTTGTCAATTCTTGCTGCCGCGGAAATAATAGAACGTCGAGGAATTACAGAGGTCGTAGGTCCCTGTAATTATGACGTCACTGATTCCGTCAAACCTTCATGCCAACTGTCATAGCAAGGAAAGTATCATTACAGAGGGCTAAAGAGAAGCAATAAAGGTCAATATGACACATATATCAACTATCTCTTCAGATAAAAAGGCTTATATTAAAATGCCTATCGGAACCGGTAATACTCCACTGCCTCGTACAAACTTTAGCAAAATGAAAGGAAATTGTTTATAAATTCCGATGATAAACTAGCTACAAAAGAAAGTCTCTATCGGACTTCTTAGATTTCACGTTTAAACCAATTCATCCTTACTTGACAGTTTCATTATCATTACTATTTCTGATATTAGATTTTTTTAAAATAAATAACTCTAGCTAATGAAGGAAAAAATCGAAGAGAGAAGAGTGTTAGACAAAAATGATTTCATATAATGTTAGGACAAATCAAATATGATGATGATAAAGTGGAAATGTGAAAAATACTTTCCAAAAATTCCAAGTGCAATGGCAAAATGCAAAACAAACAAACAAAAATAATAATTTATTTGAATTTGAAACATATGCGTCTTCTTCTTGATGATAAGCAATTGCAACAATGTAGCCTTGGTGTGCACAATGTGATCATTCTGAAAGAATTTAGTATGATATGAATAAATAGAAACCTTTATGTAATGTTTGTTTATTTTGGTACTTACAGTTTCTTTGTAATTACCACAAGCTTATCCGCAAGCCATCATCATACTGTCCTCTTCTTTCTATGCTTTCAAAAGTAATGCATTTTACGTTTTGACCTTACCCGAGAAAATTGCACCCTAATACCTTTCGTTAATTCCATAATTGGGGCTAATTTTGAAGAAAACACTTGCCTTTGTAATCACCACTCGACAATACAATGATACCCACCCGGCCAAGCAGAGTAATAAAGGGTTTATTTGGTAACCAACCACAGTCGGATAAAAAGATTTCACATCTTGATCAGGAATCTCTGAATGACAGAGATAATTAGATTCTGATTACAAAACATCGACGCATATTGCGTGGAGCTTTTATTTGGTCTGTAAAAAGGCAATTTCAAGGGATACAGTTAATGGGTAGAATTTGAAGCAACTCTTTCGATCTTCAAAATAAGCATTATTGGTTGGCGTTTGATTTTCTGGTTTGAGATAAGAAGTGAATATTTACCTCCAAACCGTTAAATAAGGCACGATATAGTGTGAAAGTACGTGATTTGCAGCCTAACATGGGCATAAAAGATTTATTGTATTCATTGTATTCAGAAAATGTAGGACCAACGAGTGACAAGAAATTAAGAAGATGGAACGGAAAGAAGATTGGTAAACTTGCTGACACAGGTAGATGGCAGAAATTGAAAGAAAGGGAGAAAAAGTAATTTAAAGAGAATGCTAGAGAAAAGGAAGAGAGGGATTTGAGATAAGGAACGTGGGGGAGGGGGGGGGGCTCACGTTTAATTTTAATCGATACCGAAAACATGTATATAGTATGATGGAAGCAATGAGGCTGACTAGCGATGTCAGAAAAACATCGAAACATTAAATTAAAACAAATGTACCTAAAGGCGACCTCGTAATTCAGTCAAACCTATTTTTAGCGACCACCTGTCTGCAAACTTCAAAGACCACAATTTTCGTTTCCCTTGAAAATAGTTTCTCATATTTGAAACATGTACATAAAAGACCACTTGTCTGTAAAGACCACTTTTCTTGTCTCCCTTGGGTGGTATTTATAGACAGGTTTCACTGTATACAAAATGAGAGATAAAAACAGAGAGAGAGAGAGAGAGAGAAAAAAAAAGAGAGAGATCTGGGGACAGAGAGAGTGAGGAAGGGGGGGGGGGGGAGTTATTTACTATGTATCATAGCCCCTTGGTAGCATGGACCTGACACTATTCGGAATATACGACTACATTCACTGACCTGGCCTTGTTCGCTCATCTTCAGTTCCTTCATTTCCTATCTTCTGTCAATTTCTTCCTTGTTGTATGGTCCTTGCCCTATTCTGTTTCTAAACCCTATGATATCTATCTTTCCTTCTTTCTCCTCTTTCTCTCTCCCCCTCTCTCTCTCTCTCTCTCTCTCCCTCTCTCTCTCTCTCTCTCTCCGATAATCTGTACGAGGTCAGTGGGAAGTCATTCTCTCCATTCATTATGTAAACTTACCAGTTTGTGCCATTGCACTATACACGGTGCCTGCCATAACAAGGACGAGTAGTAAAGCGTGTTTCCACGTGGATGCGACTTCCCGCTGGGCCCGTACTCCCGGCATGACAGTCTGACAGTGTCCCGATACCTGACGCATTCCCACACCAACCATATTATCCATAGTGAAAAGAAAGGTAGTACAAAAGTCCAAATCGAATAGATTTACAAAGTTTCATAACCTCCTGAGTCAATTTCCTCCAGAAAGTTGCAGAACGCAATTATGTGACATCCGATTTAAAACGCGAGTGAGATGAAATAAACGATCAGTTTTATACATATTATCTTAAATGGAAGTAGCATTTATTCCGAAGCACGGTAAAGCCGTGGGGATCATTCAATCCTGACGAAATAAATCATTTGTGAAGAGTTCATGCACGTACTAAGATTCCCATTTCACGAGAAAATTGCACGAGAGATTGGCTTAGTATTAGTTCGTGGTCTCAATCGTGCTGTCCTGCATTATGCGACAGTCGTGAAGTGACATCTATCTACTAAAAGATGGATGCTAAAACATTTTACCAAACAAGACACACGCGCATAAACAAAACTTGTCATCACATGCGTCCGTAGGTAGAAGACAAAGTTTTCTTTGGTTGTTTGTAAATCAAAGACGTGTTTTCTAAACAAAGCAGGGTGGGCTCGAGAGAGCGCCAGACGTACGTGAAGTCAGTCAGTGAGATGAAAAGCGTTTGTGATAGACAACTTACACAGATGGTCTTCTATCAAAACAAACCCTTTCATGGAATGATTGCTTGGCTCAGGTTCATGGAAGACAGGTATGTCAACTTCTTAACTTTCAAGACAACGCAATAACATTTCTATTGATTGATAAACCTATTCTTCGGATGTATTGCTCGTCAGATTTCACTTTGATTATAACGATCCAACTAAGGGCGGAGCTGCTAGCTGACAAGGTTTGACTAATTTTCGTTGTAAATATTATATAAACATTCAAAAATAAAATCAATTTTGTACGAATAATCGATGTACAAACATGTCTACGGTGGATCACGGAACTGTAGTAACAATTTTCTGATGGGAAGAGTCTAAAACTGAGATGGATGCCTTTGATGTCTCCTTGAGTTTATATCCAGGTGTTTCTCAATGGCATCACAATCAGAATGTTTCCCTCTCAACGTTGCATTGTTGAGATTCCAATCAAAAGTACATGAAGTCTGTTAAAACATTTGTCCCTACTCTCCAATATTATACAAATTAGTGTCCATCTTTCTACGCTCATAGACCAGATCGAGTTCACACAATTGATTCCTATTTCCCGTGTCTGTTGGAGACATCACTCCGTATTCTCTGGCTGTTGACAGGTGGGGTAAAGGCCCTCAATGCTTGATCGCTAAAACAGCCTCCTCGCTCAACAGCCTGAAAATGAGGAATTACCAAACGACAGAGAAGTGTAAAATAAATTATCATCTGACGCTTTACACACGGCGGTCGATCTAAATTGCCTTATTGTAATACAGACACAGGAGAAGCAGAATAAGACTGAATGACTGTCAGTGTGTGTGAAACAACATTACATCAATCTCGGATCCTTGTCGGAAGATAATGCTCTTACTTTGAGAGAGTTTGACGATAAGTTGTCATGAAAGTATGAAATCCTGTCTAACAAACCGTGCTGATGATCACAAAGCCACCCTGGCTTGGGACTGGTACTCAATTCAACAAACTACGTCCACACCGAGAGAAAGTGGATAATCCTCTTTGAGACAAGCTCCTTACACCATGTTCACAAATATGTCACTGCATTCACTGATAAGTCACAAGCCCTGCTTCATTATCAAACTCTTCATGCTTCGGCCACACACAAGTTTCAAATATTCTCCTCTGAAACTTTATTTCCTTTACTTAAGAATGAAATGGATAACGGTGTGACGATGAAGAAGATATTGGAGGCACGTCTGTGTTGCTTCATTTCCATCACCATACTAACCTCGATTGAATGAAATGAAGGCAAAGTGAGAAGAAATCGTGTTGACATAGTCTCGTCACCATGCTCTGTCCCATAGATATTGCTTGTCAAGGATTTAACTTCACAATTATAGAATATTTCCTTACGAATGAGATTGTCTAAAAGGTTGCTATTTTTTCAAAATGTCGCATATTTTGCATTAATAAAAAAGAAATCCTTTCAACTAGGCGGAAAACAACTTGTTTTCTCTTCGAAATACAAAGAGTATACCCCCTTAGTAATTTAATTGACTTGGATCTAGGCTAGTTTCCACAGGCAGGGAAGATCTTGTGAGTCATTTAAAGTTCACGACACGGTTCTTTCTTTCTTTAGCGGTATAAAAAACCACAGCAAAGGATGTCACTCGTAAAAACTATTCGTAAAAGGATTTTTGGTATTCTTGTTATCACTTCTCACCTATTATTTGGACCCGTGAGAGATCGGAGTCCCAATGAATAGATTTACCATGGATAGGGATCATTGAGTGAGTTCAAAAGACAAACGGCTGATTGCACGAATAGTCAGATCCTTTCTCTCTTAAAAAATCAAACAACCATGCCTCTGAATAGCATGCATGAATAGAGGCATATAAATGGCTAGTAATATATAGAACTAGAATACTTTTTACATGTAGATTAGGTCCATTCAGGGAGGTGAGCTCCCTGGTCAAATCAACTCTTCAGATTAACCCTGGTGTGGAGTAAAATATTTCTACCGAGCTGGAGCGGTAGAATTAAGAATTTATGAAAAACTGCAAAACTTGAGATGAAAAATCAATATTTTAAGACAAGTTTTATTTCTCGATGTACTATGCTCTCTACCCCGAAAATCATGTCTTGGTAAAACTTGTATCACCACTATGAGCGACTGAGGAGGGAAAACGCTACAGTGCTACCATTTCGATATTCTTTGGGCTCTAAAATAGATTTGTCACAAAGATCTTTTAATCTAGTATTATAATGTTTATATTAGGATTGCCTCTGCGGAGAGTTGAGTCCAGATACACCAGCGATAATCCTCTGTTTAACATACACACACGCCACTCCCCTCCATATTTTTTAACTAAAATTTTACTTTCAATAGGATAACTCATTGGTCAGTTTGGTTGGTGGATATGTTGCAATATTACATGCTCACATTTGCCGAAGTAAAAGTATAAATCTAACACTAGTGACTATAACTTTGAAAACATCTGCAGAAGTGCTTCCTTGTTCACAATTACCTCTTCATCGTCCAGCTCTCTCTGCAGGATAATTTTAAGAAAATGTCCTTTTCTTCTCTCCTGAATCGAATATCTTTCCCTCACTTTTATTTCTCATTTGTCATGTGACTCTTTGACGTCAGTCCATGTGACTCTGTAATAAGGCCTGTTTAATAGTCCCCCTCTTCCTTTTTTCTTTCTTTCTTTCTTTCTCCCTCACTCCACCCCTCCCTCTTCTGTCTTCAATTATGACCCTGTATTAATTATCGCTTCTTTCATCGCATACCACCAATACCTTGGACTGAAATGAAGAGGGGGTGCTGACAAAGATAATGCACGTATCAAGGTCCGTCTAGATTAGAGGTGATATATGGGACAGTGGTGTACAATGTGTGCGGGGATGATGTCTCTTCATATCGATAATATCAATTATAATACCTCACTTGACTTCTTAAAAACATCTGAAAATAAACTCTACAATAATTTCTTCATGAAATGAGAGAAAGCACCCTGTACTTTGGAAAACGTGCCATAGAAATCCATTTATCATCATCAATATGTCATTATAATCACTTTATATTTGTCATTGTACACTTCTTTGTATTATTCTGCTGCGACATGATATTTGTTATTGTTTGAAAAATAAAACAAAGAATTGTTGTATGACAGATGCATAAATAAATTCAATTCAATTCAATCAATTCAAAGACTACTAAACAATCGTACATACATTGTAAAAGGGGGAAATGAGTAGAATCAAGAAGTTTGTTGGTAACTTCTTGGTAGAATGAAACAGCTAGTGAGAGGATCACATCAGTGATCAAAAGAGCCTAAGCAACCAGGCGCGTACGCAGGGGGGGGGGGGGGGTGTTTGGGGGGGTTAAACCCCCCCTTTGGTATTTTTATGTGTGTAAACCCCCCTAAGAAATCCCTAAACCCCCCCTTTGTTTTTTTTGTTTTTTGTTTTGTTTTTTTAATTATTAAAAAAAAAAAAAAAAAAAAAATTACCCCCATGGCTGACCTAAGAAAGGTGACCTTACCCCCCCCCCCCCAACGGAGAAAAAATGTCAAATTTTCAAATTTCGAGACAAAAAAAAAAAAAAAGTGTCCGCTTACCGCTTAGACCACTGAGCGACTTTTCGGCTGGCTGAGTCGTTGCGATTTTTTTTGGACTCCCCCCCCCCCCCCCCCCAAAAAAAAAAAAGAGTCCGGAGCTGCTTTGAGATGATGTTTTGTAGATGGAAACGACGAAGAAAACAAAACAATTTGAAGAAAACTAAATTAATAGCTGCAAAGTTAAACTCTTATATTTCTCTTGAGAACACCTACCTGATTTGAACGATTAATCGTAGCTGTTTGAAGAATAACACTTTTTGCGCTTTAGAAAATCTCCAATGATAATTAAAAAAACTTGATTGTAGTGTATTTTAAAAGTGAGTGCTGGAAAAGATGAGATGAGATAGTCTATAGGTTTGGTCTTGAGGAAAGGAACAAATACCCTGGCACCAAGAAGATCTCTTAATTCTTTTTCCATTGAATACTGGTCTAATCTGGAATAGGATTTAAGGCTTGGATACAAGATGATGCAGACGTGAATAGGGATTAATCTATGTACAATGGAACAGGAAGGGGAGGAGATTGAAAGGAAAAGTGAACGCTCTGTCGAGTTAGGTCTGTGAAAATGAAAGCAATTATTTTGCTCTCGGAATCATGTTTTTTTAAAAGAAATAAAACCTTTTAGGACGATGAAGAGGAAGTAGATTATGTCCTGAAGGCTTGGTAGAGCAAGGACTGTTGGTTTGTTTTTTACAAGAGGAAGCGACAAAAAGAGTTAAGTGATAGAGAATGAAAGAGAGAGATCGGAGAGGGAGAGATCAAGAAGGAGAACGTAGAAATATAATTATAAATAGAGGTATGGTGAAAGAAATATAGAAATAGAACCCCCCCCCCCCCCCAAAAAAAAAAAAAAAAAAAAAAAAAAAGTTAGAAAGAGGAAAAGAAAGAAGGAAGAAAACAGCAAAAGGAAGAGCTTGATCGAAATATAGAGGGAAGATAGATAGAAAAGGAGAAGGAGAGGAAAAAGAAGAAGTAGAAGAAAAAGCAGAAGAAGAAGAAGAAGAAGAAGATGGAGCTAAAAGAAAAAGGAGAAAGAGAAAGAGAGAGAGAGAGAGAGAGAGAGAGAGAAAGAGACAGCAAAGCATAACAATTCTCTGTATTTTTTTCAATGCCGATTACCGTGTTTTGTATGCCTTCTGTCATAACAAATAGGCTTTGCCGCATTGATCATGGTGATAATTGATTTTCTTTAAATACATTTAAAACAAAAAAAAATCTATTTTAATACTTATCTATCTATTTATAAGTATCATGATTGTCAGTTGTAGTGGCTATGACGACAAATAACATTCAGAGCATTTAGAACACCAACACGTACTCTACTTCTCTTTAAAAAGTGAAAGTAATTAAGATTTTGAGGTTACTACGTACAATGATGCTAGCAAGAGATCAAAATATTCACTGAACTAGATTCTTTCTGAGAAATTCCAACGCAAGAGGGAGACATATACCGTACAGCAATGTATCAATTGACCTTTTTTTTGCCGCGGCCACTGAACAATATTTAATGATGTCAATTTAGAAATAAATTCAGTCAATATGGAGAAATCTTCACTTCTTAGCGTGCGCCACCTATAGTTAGGATCGGAATATTTCAACCACAAAATAAAAAAAGGAGTAGAAAGATATATATCAATATAAATTCCCAATCAACAAATTGTAATAGGTGAATAGGTGCGACCCACTCTTTTTTATACACACATGCATATATTGAAACAAAAGAAGAGAGAGAGAGAGGGAGAGAGAGAAAGGGAGGAGTGAGAGAGAGAAAGAAAGAAATTGAGAGAGAGAGAGAGAGAGAGAGAGAGAGAAGGGGGAGATGTTTTAAAATCAAGAAATTTCCCTTCGTATACACCTTTATTTATTATCATTCATTATTATATATTACTGACTAACAGTATATGTATATGTTATTAATGAACTCTATGATCATATCATGAGCGAAAGCTGACGAACATTTCAAGGAGATGATATAAAAATGTTTATATATATATCTATACAAATGACATCCCACCCCGTGACTGGACATGTCGTTCACTCAGGTCACCATCTCCCAGCCAGGCATTAATACGCTCAACGCCATGGCCACCAGGAGAATGAAGGATAAAGGAACTGATTCATAAACAAAGCCATACTCTGCTGTCTGGAAGAGATCCATCCGGAGTTTAAAGGAACTAGGACGGAGTTCCAGTGCTTGTGTCACTCATTGGGATGTATGAATTGACATTACATTATTTGATTATATAAACACTCATGCGTTCATGCAGAACTAATGCGTGCGTTCAACCAAAAGGACTTGCAAACAGACAGGATATTGGCCCATATCACGTGATGAGCCGTGGCTTTACTTCCCCCTTGCACGTTATTTTTCAATCTCTATTATATCTCTGTGGTTACCAGCCGTGCCACCAGTCATTGTATTTTCCGATCATCGGCAAGACAAATTGCGAATATGATTGTCTCCTTTTTCATGGACTTGCACGTTGTCTTTAGACTAATTAATATTAGGTTATTAGATATAGTATTAGGTTAGGTCATTTTGCACGAAAACAGATCAATAGGATATGACAATCAATATTTCCTGTCTCGTTTAATCGTCATGCTGGTAATACCGCGATATATCCACTGCTTAAATCTATGTTGCTACAGCGACTACTATTCCTGCTTCCGCCGTA